GGGGCCCCTGGGGGCCCCCGGGGGCCCCTTGAGGTTGTCGCTGGGGCCCCCAGGGCCCCCCTATGTCGTCGCTAGGGGGCCCCCAGGGGCCCCCTGATTCGTCTCTGGGGGCCCCCTTCGGCCTTGTTTGGGGGCCCCTTAGGGGCCCCTCCAGGGAAGCCCTTAGGGTCCCAAGGGGGCCCCCTAGGGGGCCCCCAAGGTAGCCTAAGGGGCGTGGCTTTTGACTTCTCGCAGGGAACTTTCGCTCAACGGGGGCCCCCAGGAGGGGCCCCCAAGGCAGTAAAGCTTTTGAGGGTTTAGGGGCCCCCACGGAGGCTGGGGGCCCCCCTTAGGGGGCCCCCCTTTTGGCGGGGGCCCCTTAGGAGGCCCCTTTTAAAAATTATTCTACTTTCGATTTCTGTGAGCTTGCGTGGGGTTGCTGCTGCTGCTGCTGCTGCTGCTGCTGCTGCTGCTGCTGTTGGGGCTCCCAAGGGGCCCCCTAGTTTGTTCGGGGCTGCTGCTGCTGCAGTCAGCAGCAGCAGCAGCAGCAGCAGCAGCAGCTAGCGAAGATTGGACTAAGAGATGGAGGTAGAGAGACAGAAACTTTAGCGGCACAGGCGCCGAGCCGCAGCAGCAGCTCCTGCTGCTGCTGCTGCTGCAGCTGCTGCTGCTGCTGCAGCAGCAGCTGCTGCTGCTGCAGTTGGCGTTGCTACGTGACCCTGCAGCAGCACAAGCACGCCGCAACACTGCTGCTTTTGCTGCTGCTGCTTTCTTCAGCTCGTCTGCTGCTGCAGCAGCTGCAGCGCTGCTGCTGCTGCTGCTGCTGCAGTTGCTGCTGCTGCAGTGGGAGGCCTACATGAGCTGTCTAGACACTCGCAGAGTTAGTTTTAGTGTCTCCTCAGCTGTCTCCGTTACGAGGTTGCTGCGGTTGGCTGGGGCGTTGCCGTCCTGCAGCACAAACCCTAAACCCTAAACCCTAAACCCTCGGCTCAGCAGCGCAAACCCGCGCAGAGGGAGCTTAAGGGTCGCGCCGCTAGGGTTTAGGGTTTAGGGTTTAGCGTCACACGCAGGTTCCTGCTGCAGGCTGGCGGCTAGGGTTTAGGGTTTGGGGCTCCGTGGGAGGCGGCTCCTCGAGGGTTTAGGGTTTAGGGTTTAGGGTTTAGGGTTTAGGGTTTGGGACCTGCTGCAGAGCCACGTGCTGCAGCTGCTGCAGCGCCTTTTCGCAGCCTTTTTGTCTCCTTTTGTCGCCCTCAGAAAGGAGACAGGAGACACCCCACAAAGGGACCTCCACAGAGTACTCTCCTGCGCAGCAAACAAGTGGCTAGCTGCAGCAGCTAGCTGCAGCAGCAGCAGCAGCGGCTAGCTGCAGCAGCAGCAGCGGCTAGCTGCAGCAGCAGCAACAGCAGCTAGCCGCGGCTAATCGCCTGCGTGCGGGGTAGCTGAGTGTTGGGCTGACTGGAGCTTTTCTTGGCTAGCTAGACATCTTGCACAGGGGCTGAGTGGCTAGCTAGCTAGCTGAACATGCACTTGGCCAGCTAGCTAGCTAGATAGCTAGCTAGCTAGATAGATAGCTAGATAGCTAGATAGCTAGCTAGATAGATAGCCAAATGTCTAATTTTCAAGCTAGCTGGCTAGCTAGTTAGCCAGCTAGCTACCTGGCTAGCTGTCTGGCTGGGTAGCT